TTTCCTTTAACAGATTGACATGTGGAGATATCTGTGGGGCATTTTTTTGATTGTTGAGTGATGTGGGAGGGCCTAGCCCACTGTGGGTCATGCTATCCTTTGGCAGGTGGTCCTGGGTGTTTAAGAGAGCAAGCTGAACACAGGCAGGGGAACAAGCCTTAAGTAAGCAGACTCTGCATGGTCCATGCTTCAGCTCCTGCTCTAGGTTCCTGTCTGGGTTCTTGTAGGGCTTTTCTCAAAGACAGGCTATTACTTAGAAGTGTAAAGTACAATAAATCCTTTCTACCCCAAGATTTTTGGCCAGAGTGTTTTATCACAGCAATAGAGAAGCAAGCAAGAACACTACTTTGTTTGCATGTGTAGTATGTGTGCATGCATATGTGTGTTTACATGTATGTGTATGGGCACATGTATGTGCATGCAGGTATACATGCATATATATGCACATACATGTTGAGGACAGAGGTTGGCACTGGGTGTCTTTCTTGATTGATCTCCACCTTAGATATTGAGGCAGCCTCTTTTGCTTCACACCATAGCTTATCAGTTCCATGAGTCTAGCTAACCAACTTGCCAAAGGATCCCCGTCTCAGCTTCTGAAGTGCTGGAATTACAGGTGGGCTGCCAGGCCCACCTGGCAATTTATTATTATTTATTTATTTATTTATTATTTATTATTTATTTATTTGTGTGAATATAATGCCCTCATGTATGGAAGTGCACCCGTGTTGTATAGTACCCATGGAGGACAGAAGAGGCTGTCAGATCCTCTGGAACTGGAGTTCCAGACAGTTGTTAGCTGCCGTGTGGGTGCTAGGAATCGAACTGAGGACTTCTGCAAGAGCACCAGTGGTCTTAATGGGTGAGCCATCTCTCCAGCTTCCTACCTGGCATTTCTATCAGTGTCGGCAATCCTCTGTTCCTAATGCTTTATCCACAGAGCCATCTCCCCAGCTCTGTAGTTGGCACTTTTTAGAAGAGCTATGGATCCTCAAATGAAGGGGGCATGAGTCACCTGTCATGTATCACCTGCCAGAACATTGGCCTCTGTTGCTTCCATGTGTATCTACAGAAGCTGTGATGCTCATCTTCCTACTGAAGATGCTTTGAAGCATTCAAAATACTGGGATTTCCTTTGTAAATGCCTCTTACCGAGTCCATTTTGGCACAATCTTTGCGTTCCTAAGGAAAATGAAGCAAAGAATTAAAACACGATGTCTACAGATTGTTGGCCCAAGAATCGCTTTATGCATATCATTTCCCATAGATCATTGGCTAAGAACTAAAAATATTTATGGTCATTTGTTCTACACCAAAAGTGTTTTTAGCTCCTGTGCGGCTGAAATGTTACTGAGGACAATACACTGGAAGAATGGGGATGCTCAAAGTCTTAACTTCCTCTCATCATCTCACATTCACTGAGAAGGTTAAGTGGCAGTCTCTTCTAGAAGATCCTCCCAGCCCTGTCTATGGAGCTTGCAGAGAACCTCGTGTAGCAGTCATAATAACCCTTGTCTGCAGTCAGTATGCACAACTGAATAAGATAATTAAATAGGCTATTTTTAAGTAATCTGCATTTCACAGAAAGACCCAGTAGTTTTGCTGGCCTCTCCGACTGAGAAGTATCACTAACAGACATATTAGCATTACCATAGTTAAATGGTGCAAGTGATTATGGGAAACTCCTTGGACTCCCCAAAGATGGTTTTAACTGCCAAACCTAAATAGTAATGCCATTTTAAATTCTTAGTTTAAAGAGTATGATCTTACTTAAAGTGATCAACCACAAAGCTGGTCTTTGGTTTTCTGAATTTAATTGACTATATGACTAGTTGTAGCAGTGAACATGTGTGAGGCATCTTCAACCCCATTCTGGGTAAGTTTCTTAATAATTCAGTCATGGTTAGCAATATCACACGATTACCTTTTGGTGCACAAAAAAACAGTGACTTTCATGAGAAATAAGATAGTCTCACTTTTGAATGTTAGCATTTCTAAAGATGAATTTAATTTGTAGAGTAAGTCTACCTTAGTGTTATGGGACTATTCAAACAATTCAAGTGAAGTATTAGGAATTAGAATTTCCCCGAGGGCTGTCATTTCCTGTTCTGCTGCCTGGGTTTGGTTTATCGGACTAGGAAACAAAAAAGAGAAGCATCTACTGTAGACTAGTCTTGTTTCTTCCCAAGCAAGGTTGGTGCCTTTTGACCCAGTGCATGCCAGGTAAGAACTGCACTTGACAGATTTTCCCATTCCCTTTCTCCCAGGCAGATCTTCAACCAAATCATGCTACATAGTCTTAGATTTTTCTTAAGAGCAAAGCAGCCCACTTCCTCTTTTCTCTAGACATCAGTCCTATATCACATGAATGGAATCTAGTCTTAAACCAATGAAAGACATTTGCTCTGATAAAGGTTACATTGTCCTGGGCCCTGGCGTAGCTGAGCGAGATAGTGGATGGTACAATAAATAAGGGCTTTATAAAATGGGATTTGGTAAAATTGCATAGTTTTGTACCTCTAATGGGTACACAGTCTAGCAACATGTACAGAGGCAAGCATAACTTGAATATAGTGTACTAGGAAGATCTGGTGGAAAACATATGAAAGGATGCTCTACATTATTAGATACTGGGAATGTGCACATTAAAACAGGGATGTCAGTGTGGTATATTTAATATATATTACTGGAATATTTAAAATGAAAAAGACTGGGCCAGTAAAGTAGCTTAGTGGGTAAAGATGCTGCTGGGCCTGGTCACTTGAGTTGGATTCCTGGAACCCACATGGTAGAAGGAGAGCGTTAACTCCCACAAGTTGTACTTTGACTTCACACATGTGTTGGGGCATGTACTGTCATGTGTGTATGAGCACTTGTGTGTATACACAACTAACTAAATAATAAAATGTTTAAAATTTTAATTTTGGGGGCTGGAGAGATGGCTCAGCAGTTAAGATCACTGGCTGCTCTTGTAGAGGACATGGGTTCAATTCCCAGAACCCTCATGGTGGCTAGCAACCATCAGTGACTCCAGTTCCAGGGGATCCAACACCCTTTTCTGACCTCTGCAGGCATTGCACAACACAGGTATACTCATTACATGCAAGCAAACACTCCTACACACAAAATATAAATAATTTTAAAATATTTTTTAAAGTTTTAATTATAAAATGACATAGCATGTTCTGACAAGGGTAACAGGTGGTGCTCTTGGGTTTTAAAACCACTGTGCTCTTAAACATTTAATGAAGAGCAACAGAAGTACCCATCTATTCAAAAACTTGTACAAAAATTGGTCATAATAGATTTACTCATAATAAATAAAAGCTGGAAACAATGTGAATGTTCCACAAAGGTATAAAACTATTGAGCATATTATCCACAGAATGGAGTAACATTTCACACACAAAAATAATCAACTATTCACACACACAACAACATGGATGAGTTTTAAAGGAATTAAGAAACCAGGAAAAAAGTAAGAGGCCATTAAGAATTGACTAGTATGTCAACAGTGGGGACAGAAGGAGAGGACTTGTCAAGTCAAGTGAGGTAGCATCACTTTGAGGACAGAAGGAGAGGACTTGTCAAGTCAAGTGAGGTAGCATCACTTTGAGGTCTGTTCATGGCTTGTCTCTATGTGGACCATGGAAACATGGGGTATGTGAAATCTGGCACTTAGTGAAACATGCACACAGTCATGAGCTAATTGTTTACTGCTGAGCCTTAGATAACACCCAAGACCCCCAAGAAGAAACACCCAATTAGGCAGGCCATTCACACTTGCCTATTTAAGGAAATACATTTGCATTTGACTTCTTAATTAATAACAATGATTGCTAATAAAAGTATAGTAATATCAGCAGAAAACAAAGAAGATAGCATCAGCAATAACAAAGAATTTCCAGTGCCATTCTCTGCATCACTGGGAATAAGCAGGGACGGTGAATAGAGACAGCGAGGAAATAGCCTCTGAGGGGAGGGCTTGGGGTGCGAGTAACACACTGATTTGGGGCATAGCAAACTCCCTGGACATGGTGTTTATGTAATAGCCTTGTCACTCTGGCGTGTCTGTGGTTGGATTTATTTAGTCACCTGATCCAAATTTTTACAGCAAAGCTCATGTCCTTTGTGATCAAAAGCACTGACACTGAAGAATATGTTCTCATCTGCCTTTAACAGATGCATAAACTCTCTGAGTATTTGATAGGGACATCAGTTCTTACCTGTTTGAGTATTGTATAAATGAAGATGAAAAGAACTGAGCACAGGAAGCATTTGGCATTGTCTCTAACCCATAGTGAGGGGCTCAATAAATTGGTCCTCCTCTCATGATCAACTTCCCACTTCTTTTTCCAAATTGTTCTCCTCTCCTCTGCCTCCTCATGACTGTTGGGCATCCACCCCACTATCATTCAAAAGCTTTAATCTCATAATCAACTATCAGAAAACAAGGGTGCACGTCAGCGTTGTGTTCCAGGGTAATCACAACGTCACTTTATTCATCTGATTCATTCTCCCAAGTGGTTAATTTGCATATGTTGCTTCATTAGTCTTTGTTTTACATTTTATGAAAAAGATTATGGCTCAGTAATGAAAGAAATAAAGAAATGAGTTTAGTGACTTTGATTCTACCTGCATTCCAGTATCTGTTTGGTTAAGTAATTAAAATTTCTAGCTCTTCAGTGTTTTCAACTAAATAGAAATGAAGATAGATATGTCTATGAAGAAGGTATTTTGTAAATACGAACTTTATGGACATCTAAGCAGGTTTCATAAGTTGGTGTATTTTTGCAGATGTGACCTTAAGGCCCAAAGACAAAGTCACACTGAACTGAAACTCACTGATAGAGCTACATTAAAAATAATAGTTAACTTTTCTATAAGTGTGACTCGATTCCTCCTTAATGCATCTACCAGTTCGAATTCCAGGTTGCGCTAATGTTGCTAGGGATGAGCACTTTTCCTTGGAACTCAGCAAAGCTTTCTTTGTGTTTCAGGCTTTGGGGACTTAAACCTGCATGATCAGGTCCACCTTCTGGAATGTGCCTGGCTAGAGATTCTGATGATTGGTCTTGTCTGGCGCTCCATGGAACACCCAGGGAAGCTCCTGTTCGCTCCCAACTTGCTCTTGGACAGGTGAGTATCATGGCTGAAGGGGCAGATCTAGAATCATTGCTTAAGCTGTTTTATTCCAAACACCGTGAACCATTAAAGAGCTGTATTAGTCATGTTTACTTTAGGAACTATTGATTGTGGGTGATATAGACTGGGGACATTCACAGAAGCTAAGGCTTACTGTGTTCTCTTCTCACAGTATTTCTAGTATTTCAAACACACACACACACACACACACACACACACACACACACACACCTACCTATAGACTATAAGTTTCCAACTCCCCCTTCAACTTCCGTTATGTAAAAAATATTTTGGATGCCTTTACATCCAAACAATGTTAGTAGTCTTTTCATGTCTTTCCTTGATTTTCTAGCATTAAAGTGGGGAAGTTTGGTCTGAGAGTTCTGAAGGCGACTTTTAATTTTAGGAACTCAGTTCAGTTTTTAGCTGCCTTGTTCATATATTACATTGGTTTGCCTTGCAATGTGGTTCCTGCTGTTCTTCTTTTTCAATCTTTCAGAGTAATAGAATTTAGACATTATTCAAAGCTGCTACTGATGATGGGGGTCCCTGCCCTGTAGCTGCTGTGCTAAGCGCTTTGCCTGTGTTACCTTATGTAATCATCACAGCACTGTAAGGAGTCGGGAACCTGCCCATTCACCTTTCACCAGAAAGGATGCTGAGTCTTTGAGACGTTGGTCTGCAAGAGGCAGGGCCTCACTGGTGGTGGGGCTAGGGCTCGAATTCAAGATCTGGGGCTCAGACACTCTCTGTCGCCTTCTGCCACATCACTTCAGGCTTTGCAGCTCAGAGATGCCTCTTGGTTTTTGGCTGTAGCTCATTTCCAGGTGGCCTATGTCTCTGCAAGTCTGCACAGTTTGGATGGGAAAGAACAATCTTTGTGATGTGTCTTATAAACTTTGTGCCCAGCAGTCTGAAGGTTATGCAAAATGCACTTTTGCACAGTGTTTTGCTTTGAAGAGCTTTCTGGGGCCTGCTTTATCTACCCTGAGGCTGCCGGCATCTACCAAGCCCCTCAGAGCAGAGTTGCAATGATATTTATTCAAGTTCCAGCGACCTATGTAAGGTATTGATTTCTCTTTCATTAGGTGTTAATTTAACGTACAAAACCCATTAATGATACTACTCCGAAAGCAGATTTTGTTGTCCGTAGAACGCCTTCCAGTGTCACAGTTTTCCCTAGAATTGCTGAGAATGGTCACTAGTCTTGTTGCTTTGAACTGCACTGTGTTCTGTCAGACATTAGAGAATGTATGTCTTTAAAACCTTAGCTCACTCCTCCCCTCCACTCTGCTTTCCTCCCCTCCCTGCTCTCTCTCCGCCTCAGGCAGGTCTTCCCTCCCATCCCTCCCCTCACCTCTCCCCTCCCCACCCTTTCCCTTGCTTCTTCCCTCCCCACCCTGCCCCCATCTCTTCCATCCTCTCTCTTTCCCTCACTTTTGTTTCCTCCTCTCCCTCTCCTTTCTTTTAAAAATAAGTAAAGTCACTTTGCTCTAAAAAGCTCGTGAATGAAAACACCGCGCAGCTGTCTTAAGGAAGTCCTTCAAACCCTTGGCCGGTCCTAAGCCCCGCACGTCTCAGGGAATTTTTTCACAGTTAGAATGGCCATTCGGGAGCAGTAGAGCTTCTCTGGGGATTTTACACTTTCACTATCAATTCCGTTTTTTAAATAGTTCTTGCTACTTCAAGCCCCTGAAAGCCAAATCCACCCATCCCCCATATCCCTCTCCTCTATCTCATTTTTCTTGTCTTATCACCGCCCCCCTTTTGGACTTATTTTCCTTTCTACTTTTCTCCCATTTTCTTTCATTTTTTTTAAAAGAGGCTGATCTGCCATCTTTTTCTAAGCAATTTCTGTCTGATGGTGGTACGAGTCTGTGGCTGATTTGTACTGAATTAACGGATGAAAACCCTTAGACCACACACGCTTTTCCCTTCCTGTAGACTGCCATGTACCTGTGGTGTCTAGGTTCTTGGATGTTCATAACTGAACTGATCTGCTCTATGAATGCCATATCCATTGTTCCTTCTCTTCTTAGGTTCCCATAGGCTTAGAATGGTCATGAAAACATTGCGCTTTGAATACAAAAGGCCTCTCGCTTTGCCTCGCTCAATAACTCATAGTGCCAGTGAGGTGATATTTCCTAGGATTTTATCAGCTACCTGTTTCTCTTTCTTTTCTATGTTCTTCCATTGTTAGTTTTTCCTTCTTATCTCTCATAGAAATATGAATAACTAACATTGTTCATCTTTACTTACTGCTATTTTAAAAAAAACCCACACTTGAAATTTCTATTACCAGTAGACTGGGATTTCTCAGCCTCTGTTCCATTAGCTTTCAGAGCCATTCTTTTTTGTGGTGGCCTGTTTTGTGTATTATAACATGTTTTTGTTTTTGTTTTTCTTTTGTCTTTTTGAGACAGGATCTCACTACGTAGACTGAAATCCCTATGTAGACTAGGCTGGCCTTGACCTCACGGCTACCTACCTGCTTCAGCCTCCTGGGTACTAGGAATAAAGGCATGTATTACCATGCCAGGCTGCACTGTAGGGCTTTAGCAGCCTTCCAGTCTGTACCTGCTCGGCACTGGTAGCACCCCTCCCCAACCACGGCAAGCCACAGCGTGTCCTAATACTTGTAAATATTTCCTGTCTGTGACAGGGGGTGGGTACAGGCCAAGTTGTTGGGAAGCCTGTTGAAAACCACTTCTTCAGACTTTCGTACTTCAATGTCCTGCACACAGTACAGACTCAGTAGTCTCCTGATTGGATGCATCATCTTCTTTTTCTCTAGTCTAGTGACATCAACAAACACCTAGACTGTGGATCTATAAAATTTAAATAGTTGGTAGGTTTCACCTCTTTCCTCACCAAACTAGCTAGTTACCCATCAGGTTTCTCTCTGAATGGTTTCTGAATCCAGCCCTCCGTTTGGTCTCCACCCCTCAGTCATAGCCCAGGTCCTGCTGCTTGTCTTTAGAGTGTCTGCTTTCCCAGTCTTGTTGCTCCTTTCTGCTCCACCCCACCTTCCCTCAGTCTCTTGACTCAGTGCCATCAAAGATGGTATCCACAAGTACAGTTGTAATCTTCATGCTTCCTGACTAAGCCTCCATTAACTCTTGGTTTTCTTGAACGTACCATGTAGACTTTTGCTTGTATAAATTAAGAATGCCTTTAATAAGCATTATAATCACAGACAAGGTAAACACAGGCAGATGATGCGATGATGAAGGTCACTGAGTGGGCATCCAGAAAGGAGTGCCAGGACTTGGTGATCCTGTCTAGGTTCAAGACAAATGGCAACTGAATTTGACCTGAGACTTGGGAACAAAATGTTCCATTCAAGTTTTGGAAAAATAATTTTGTTACTTTCACTTGTTTATCTGACAGAGTCTTATCACGTAGCCCAAGCTGTTCTTGAACTCATGATCATCCTGCCTCAGCCTCCTGAGTGTTGGGATCATAGCTGTGTACACCATGCCCAGCCTCAATATTTCCTTCTACAGCTCTGAAAAGCGTTTCCTGTCAGAAGCGTATCTGTCCTTTAAGACTCATCTCAGGTGCTAATTTTCTATCAGCTTTCTTTCAGATTTTCTTCTCACTCAGAAAGCAGTCTTTTCTTCACATGGGTTCTCATGTGTTCAGTGTCCCTCTCCCTAGAGTGCTAGCCTCTTCCTGTCTGTCAATTGTGAGCCATTTTGCTCTACCAGCTCATAAACTTCCTGGGATCCAGAACCAAATCTTGCTCATCTTTGTGCTGCCTTCAACATGCAAAGCCTTCCATGATAGCTCACAAATATTTTTTAAGAAAGGAGAATATCCAGTTTGAGGCTAGCCTGTGCTACCCAGTGAGACACTATATCAAGAAACACAAACAAACCCTCCAAAAACCAAAAACAAAAAACCCAACCAATCAAACAAGACCAAACAAAAAACCCCACCTTAGGTACACCTGTGAAAGCCTTCCATTTTAGTAATGATTAAAGTGTGTAAACATGAATGTATATTTAAATATAAACAATATGAAAAGTAAAATATGATCTGGAATGTTAAAATTCTAAACTCTTCTAATCATTAATAATATACTTGAATATTATTCAGTTTTACTATTGCCTGGCGTGGCAGTACACACTTTTAACCCAGCAGTCAGGTGGCAGAGGCAGGTGGATCTCTGTGAGTTTGAGACCAGCTTGATCTCATTAAAAAATAGTAAATAATATAAATTTTCCTTACCTTCAGTATTTGAAGATATGACTGCTTTTGGTGACACTGATAGATATCCGTAAAAAATGTAGTGAGTAACAGCCCCTGTATTTTGTTCCTGCGGATGATGGCTTTGATTGTTGGCACAGCATGTGCTTATGGGTTGGTCTATAGGCTTCCAACCCCTCTGAGAGAGAAGAGCTCTCTGATTAGGACAAGTCGCCTTCATCTTCTCACTGCTCTTTCTGTATCACATAATAAACATTTGTAAAAAACAAAAAAGTATAGATATTTATAAGTTTCAAACTTAGTGATTGTTTGAGAGTGGGAGGTAGGGAGTGAGTGTTAGCATTTTCATTGATAACTGTGTCTTTGACTTTGGGATGTTACCTCTGAAAGGCCAGCCACTTCCACAGGATGTGTTTCAGTTGCATAGAAATGAGGAAAAAAAGACAGACTCGAATCATATTTATCCATGTAACCCATGGATTATCAAGGTTGCCCTTGTGGGATGGAGTATTGCATACCACTGATTATTTGCATGTGTTATTTTCTCAGGTTTTCTTTGCAAATTCAGGCACTTGTGGTTTTATAAGGCCATCACGAGGATAGAACGTTACCCCAGTCTTTCCTTGAATCACTGAAATGTTTGTATTGGCAAGTAGGAGTTGGTGTTTATGGGAATATAAAACCCAATGGGTTGCCATCCCACATTGTGAGCAGAGGATGTAATTCCTATCCTGTGTTCATTTAAAAGAGAATTATTGCCTAATTTACTCCCCAATGACAGC